AGCCTCCAGCCTGTTCCCCTCCACCCCCACCATCGAAACCACCCCCCTCCATCCAGCCACCCACCACCCACCCCTGCAATCCAAACAGCCACCCTCCATCCAACCACCGCCCCCAGCCACCCCCCAACCTGTTCCCCTCCACCCCCACTCCCTCCATCCAAACTGCCCCCTCCCCCCACCATTCCCCCTGCACAGCCCTGTCGCCCCCAACACCCCACTGTTGGGCAGCAGCACTCACTTGTCACGGAGGACGACCCCCTCGATACAGGCGCCGAAGAGAATCACGGAGCTGATATCTGTGGGTGGTGAAGGAAAGACCAAGCTGTAGCTCCCCCCTCCCCCATGCCTGGGGACCGCCAAGCGCAGCCACAAGGAGAAGGGGACCCAGGGTCACAGGGCTGAGAAGAGAGGAGCAGATGGCAGGTCCGGCGCCCCATGCAGGCAGAGCCTTGTCAAGGGCCGTGGAGCTCCCGGGGGCCAGGGGAGCATGGCCAGTCTCCACGGCAGAGAACAGGAGCGTGGGGAAAGCGCCGGGGACCACGGCCCCTGCTGCACAAACCCCCTTCCAATGGGGCCTGCAGGACATGAGAGCTCTCAGCACCCGCCCTGGCCACTCCGACCTGCACAGGGGCCGTGGGGACCCGAGAGCACCTGGCGCCCCGCACCCGCCCTCACTGCTCCGACCCGCACAGGGGCCATGGGGACAGGAGAGCACCTGGCGCCCAGCACCCGCCCTCACTGCTCCGACCCGCACAGGGGCCACGGGCACCCAGCGCCCAGCACCCAGCACCCGCCCTGGCCACTCCGACCCTCACAGGGGCCGTGGGGACCCGAGAGCACCTGGCGCCCAGCACCCACCCTCACTGCTCCGACCCGCACAGGGGCCATGGGCACCCGGCGCCCAGCACCCGCCCTGGCCACTCCGACCCGCACAGGGGCCGTGGGGACCCGAGAGCACCTGGCGCCCAGCACCCGCCCTCACTGCTTCGACCCGCACAGGGGCCATGGGCACCCGGCGCCCAGCACCCGCCCTCACTGCTCTGACCCACACAGGGGCTGGTTCAGACGCAGACAAGACCCTGCCCCTGCCACCCTGTTCTTGTCCCGGACCCTCTGCCAAGGATACAGACAGCAGACGTTGTGGCGATGGCCAGGATGGTCCCTGTGGGGATGGATTTCTGAGCATCCCGCAGGTCTCCTGATCGGTTGGAGCCGGCCATTATACCTAGGGAAGACAAGGGAACATGCTATGGGGCACCGTGCCATGGAGGGGCGCATGGCAGTGCAGAGCCCTGAGCAAGGCCACTGAGCACAGCCCCCTTCCCCAGGGCGCTGGGCTCCAACCCGGTTCAGAGAGCTGCAGCCGGCAGGTAAGGCCCAGAGCACATGGCACGTGGCCTGGGGGAGCTGAGCAGGCCCTGCCACGGGGGGCTGGCAGAGGGGAGCAGACCCGGCTGCAGGGGGGTGGCTGATCTCCCCTCTCCACACCCGACTCTCCACCCGCAGAATCAGGCTCCAGACGTGCTGATGTGGTTTCTCTCCTCCACCCTTGATTAGCTCAATCTGCGAAGGCCAAGTAGAGGCGAGCGAGCGAGGGGCTGTCCCACCGGGCGCAGGCAGGTGGGCAGGAAGCTGTGAGGCAGCCATGCCATTGGCAATGGGGAGGAGGGCAGGGCTCGTCATTGTGGCTATCAGCCAGGGCTGCCTGGATTCTCACTGCTGTGGGGAAGTGAGGGCCAGGCAGGGCTAGGAGTCCGAGTGGAGCCGACTACGGGCAAGTCCCAGGTGCCCGCAGCACAGCCGGACAGAGAGATGCCTCAGGAAAAGCTGCCACTTGTAGCACGGCCTGAATTATTCATCGGACACGAGTCCATGTAAAAATCATGACAGGCTGGTGAGTGAGCAGCGAGCCGGGGGCTTTCTGCCCCGGGATTCCCCTGACGTCACACAGCTGGGCCTGGACCTGGGGGTTCAGTTCAACCCTCCTGGTCCAAACTCCGCTGGCTGTGGGGTCCAGCTCATGGAGCGTGGAGCAGCAGGAGCGTGTGAGGGCCATGCTGCTCCCAGACACGGCCTCGTACCGCGGGCTGGCTTGGCACTGGCTTTGCCCCACACCAGGCGGCTCCTGGGGGGCGGCTCAGGGGCTGCTTTGCTCAGTTATTTCCGCCCACAGGAGGGGAGCCAGAAATAGCCGAGCGGTGGTGACGTCGGCGCGGAGGTGAGATGAGCTGCCAGCCTGTCTGTGGGGCTGGGGGTGGCTGGGGGAGGAGGAGCTCTTTGATCCTCCCCTGCACCCCCCACGCAGTCACGCTCCGCATGGGAAGCAGAAATCAGAGAGATGTGCAGCCAGCCAGACGTGACAGAGCCCCTTGCACGCACACACACATGTGCAGCCAGCAGGTGCGCACATATACATGGGAGCACATGCATACCCCAAACATGACGAACGCATGCCCACAGAGGTGTGGCACGGCACACCCACACACGTGCCGGCACAGACAGATGCACGCACCCAGAGGTGCACATGGCACACCCACACACCCACATGTGTGCCGGCCCAGCACTCACAGATGCACGCACACATGCATTTGCGCGCACGTCCCCGGCACCCAGCGGCTGCAGCTCCTACCTGTGACGGACGGGAAGTAGATGCCCACCAGCAGGGTGAAGTATGAGGTCATGTCACTGAAGACGTAGGGCTGGTCCAAGTCGATAACGGGGTCCACGAGGGCCACCGAGGGCACCCCCTGCTTCTCCACAATCACCCCCTTGGTCAGATACGTGCTCCAGAGATTCTCTGCAAGGAGAGCCGGGGAGGGCTGAGTGTTCACACGGGAGAAGCCCCTGCTCCAAGGGCGCTCTGCCATGCCAGCTCCTGCTGCAGACGCAGTGAGGCATCCCCACACGCCCATCACACAGCCCAGGAGACCCCACCCTGCACAGCGCCCCTCCATCCCTGCACTCAGGAACGCAGTCACACAGACTCAGCCCTGACGGCCATCAGACATTGTGACGAAGTGGGGGATTTTCATGCAGGGGGAGTGGAACTCAGTTTCCCTGGGGGTTACTGGTTTAATGAGGTGAGGGGAGAGGGAGTTTGTGGTTACAGAGGACCGGAGAGAGAACTTGGGACCCCAGCTGATGGCCTCGAGGACAAATACCCCAGCGACTGGTAACATGATGACCCGAGCAGCCGGTTCTGGCCAGTGGGAGGACCATGGGCTGTAAAGAGAGGACCTGTGACCTAACCAGCCGGTTCCAGGCAGAGGACAGAAGAGAGAAGAGGAGGCCTAGTGACCCGGTTTACAACCCTGTTTCCCTGGAGAGAAGACAGTGGACAGAGGCGGGGCTTGGGGCCGGTGATCTCAGATGCCCAGCTGGGGAGCAGGGGGGCTCTGGGCTGGAGGGGGGAGCAGGCTGAGCCCACCTGGATGCAGGGGAGACTGGGATGTGCTGGGCTGAGGGAGGCCAGGCCTGAGGGTCAGAGAGTTTCCTGTGCTGTGTTCACCTCTCAATAAACCCTCCTGTTTTACGCTGGCTAAGAGTCTAGAGAACAGGGTTGCATCAACACCTTCGCGGGATGAAGGCCCCGGGGGTCCAGAGCGAGTGGACTCCCAGAGGGGGCCCACGGCGAGAGACAGACGTGCTAAGGCTCTGAGAGGTGCAGCTCCAGGAGGTGGGGGGGGGCTAACCCCGAGAGAGAGTGGACCCCCGAGAAGGGCTGTCTCACTGACAGGAGTCCCCCCACGGACTGCACGGGGCCAAGAGTGGGCACGATCTGTGAGTCCGTGACAGACGTGTCAGAGGGGGTCTGAGAACACTGCAGTCGGTCCCCCATGACCGTCTCAGCCTGACCCCTGAGGATGTGCCTACAATGCGGCTGGGAGCGAGCTCTCAGCCTGGGGCCAGATCAACCTCAGCCTAGACCAGTCCACACAATCGGTCACTTCCTAGACACTGCAGTGCTAATAAGCGCTGGTCACATAAACACCACCCTATACCGGAAACCTACTGACCACTATACTTACCTACATGCCTCCAGCTTCCATCCAGACCACACCACACGATCCATTGTCTACAGCCAAGCTCTGAGATACAACAGCATTTCTCCAATCCCTCAGACAGAGACAAACACCTACTACAAGTCAGGCCCAACAAAGAAAGTAACAGAACGCCACTAGCCGTCACCTTCAGCCCCCAACTGAAACTTCTCCAGCACATCATCAAGGATCTACAACCTATTCTGAAGGATGATCCCTCACTCTCACAGACCTTGGGAGACAGGCCAGTCCTCGCTTACAGACAGCCCCCAAACCTGAAGCAAATACTCACCAGCAACTTCACACCACACACCAAAAACACCAACCCAGGAACCAAACCCTGCTACAAAGACCGTTGCCAACTCTGTCTGCATGTCTATTCAAGGGACACCATCATAGAGCCAAACCACATCAGCCACACCATCAGGGGCTCGTTCACCTGCATATCAACCAATGTGATATATGCCATCATGCGTCAGCAATGCCCCTCTGCCATGTACATTGGCCAAACCGGACAATCTCTACGCAAAAGAATAAATGGACACAAATCTGACATCAGGAATCATAACGTTCAAAAACCAGGAGGAGAGCACTTCAACCTCTCTGGTCACTCGAAAACAGACCTAAAAGTGGCAATTCATCAACAAAAAAACTTCAAAAACAGACTCCAACGTGAAGCTGCAGAACTGGAATTAATTTGCAAACTGGACACCATCAGATTAGGCCTGAATAAAGACTGGGAGTGGCTGGGTCATTACAAAACCTAAAGTTAATTTCCCCAATACTAATTTCTCCTACTGTTATTCACACCTTCTTGTCAACTGTCTGTAATGGGCCACTCTCATTACCACTTCAAAAGTTATTTTTCCTGCCTTGGGATCCTGCTGTTAATTGATTTATCTCATTAGCCTGACCTCACACTTGGTAAAGCAACCCCCATCCTTTCATGTATTTATACCTGCTCCTGTATGTTTCACTTCATGCATCTGGGTTCTAGCCCACAAAAGCTTATGCCCAAATAAATATGTTAATCTCTAAGGTGCCACAAGGACGCCACGTTGTTTTTACAAATGGTGCAGCCATTACGGCCCAGCGAAGGCTCACCCGAGCTAGGATCCAGGGAGTAGGTGGGCTTGGGCCCAGCTGTTTAGCCAGAGCTGCCACAGGTGCTACATCAGCCACATGGCTACTATTAGCACACTACTGCAAGCCTTGCTAGCACAAGTCTGTCTACCCAGCTGGGAGACTCGCTCCCCACTGCCGTGTGGACACACCCTCATAGTCAAAGGTCAGTTAACCTGTGAACTGCTTTGTCAGCATTAACTGTGATCACTGTGGACTTCATGATCTCCATATACACATCCAGTCCCTTTGGGATCTCTGTGACATCCTGTGGCAGCGAGTTCCACAGGTTAATTACACAATGCGTGAATAAGAATTTCCTTCATTAGTTTTGAGTTTCCCACCTGTCAGTTTCACTGGCCGTTCCCTGGTGCCTTTGCTGTGGGACAGGGAGAATGGACGCCCCCTTTCTCATTGCTCTGCCCCATCCAGGACTGGATAGACTGGTATCCTGCCCCCTCTGCTCCAACCCTCTCGAGGGTTACAATCCCAATCTCTGCCAGCTCCCCCCACAGCTCAGTTTTTCCAGCCTTGCTCGTTCTCGTCACCCTTCCCTGACCCCCCAGCTGCGTGCGACGGGGGCCCAGCGCTGCCCACAGGATCCGCACCATCGATTGATGCAAAGGCGCTGGAACATTCCCCGTGTTATTCTCCACCCCGGTCCTTGTGCAGCTCTTCTGCCTGCAGCTGCGCATTGAGCAGAGGTCTCCATTGCTGTCTGCAGTGGCACCCAGCTCCTGTCCCTAGCCGTTAATCTAGCCCCCTGGGTGGTGTGAGGAGTTCAAATTCTCCGCTCCACCACACGTTACTCACCCATCCTCCCTGCACCCAGCGCCTCCTGCCTGGGGGAGCACCCCCTATGGCACCCTGGGGAGACCTCCCCCTTGGGACTCCTCTCTTAGCAGGCCTGCTCAGCACAGCTGTGGGGATTCAGGGTACCCTGAGCCCGACACCCCCTCCCTGGCTGCTGCCAGGGTCTCATCGCTCTGACAAGGGACCCAGGACAGGGCCACTGGCCGAGATCAGCAGCTCCAGCCCGTCACCACACTCACAGCTGATGGGGGGACCGGGACCAGGCCCTGATGCAGGCACTGGGGATCCCTGCACAGGAGAGCAGCCAATGGCAGCGGATCCGAAAGCCAAGAGGCTGGGGCTGAGCCTTGGAAGACAGGGAGACGCTCCACACCCCTGTGGAGATGCCAGCTCAGGACTACGTGCTGCCACTCTAGAAGCACATGTAGTGGGTCAGCACCATGGTGCCCCGAGCCACCTCGGCCAGGGGAGAAGTCCCCGCACAGCCCACGCGCTGGCCCTTTGGAAGATGCTGCAGGGGCTGGCTGGGCGTCCCCCTGCTGGATTCCCTATGGAGGGGCCAGGGAGGGATCCCAAATCCAGAGCTTCAGGAGAGGCTGATCCAGCCCTAGCCCCCACTGGGGGTTCTCTCAACCCTTCCTCCTGGTCGCTTGCCCTCCCTTACCCGGTGTCTCTGCTCCTTGTTCCAGGTCGCTACCCTTCATTGCTGGGAAGAGACTGCCAGCCCCACTGAGCCGTCATCCTGCATCAGCCCCAGCCAGGACTGCCCTCCGGGTGAGCCAGCCCAGCTCCCTGAACCTTGCCTCAGGACCGGGACCCATTCTGATGCCTGCCCTGCAGAGTCCCTAGCCCTGCCACACCTCCTCCCTCCTGCAGCCAGCGGCCCCAGCACCAACTCTCCATCTCTGGCCTGTCGCAGGCTGGGCCACTGGCTGTGGGCTCCCAGACTCCCCTGGACTGGCCAGCCTTTGCCATCCGCTGCCCACTCCCCAAGAACACCCCACCCTGCAGGAATCTGGGCGTGCTGCCCACTCGTGACCCTTCTGTCCTACCCACTAGGCAAGGGCTGTCCCTGCCCCAGTAATCTGAGCTGCGGACACTTCTCAAGTGCATCCTGAACATCTAGTAAACGACGTCCATTGAATGCCCCTTATCTGCCATGGCAGCAATCGCCTGAGAGCGCCAAGCAGGTTAGTCACGCCTGGCTTCCCATGAGCCGTCGGAGAGAGACACGAGCACTGGCAGAGCCTGGTGCCCGAGCTCCCCTGGCTCCGCTGTGCCCACGCACCCCTGCCGCTCCCCCCCGCGCCAGCCCAGCGCAGAGTCGCTTCGAATGATACTTCCCAGGACACACAGCCAAGAAGTGCAGCCTGGCCGCCCTCTAGCACAAACCGCAGCACGGTGACTGAGCTGTAATGAACCAGCCACAGGAAGTCAGGGCGAGCTGGGATCTGTGTCAAACGCACCGAGGCCCAGGGAAGAGCGAGGTTAGAAGCCATGCACGGGAGAGCGACAGCTGCAGTCCCAGGGCTTGTGACCAGCTCCCGAGCCTGAGCGCACGGCTTGGTGTAGGGCTGCTTCTGGACTGCCATCCAGCTGGGCAGAAGGCTGGGTTGGGCTCCCAGTGCCCAGGCCAGGGAACCCCCCAGAGCTGAGCCCAGAAGGGTCTGCAGCAAGGGGGGGCGGCTCTCCCGCTGACTATCAGGACTGTACCCGAACCGGTGACCTGCAAAGGGAGCCCCAGGCCTGCCCCTTCCATCTCCCGGGGGCAGAGGGAGAAGCCTGAAGGGCAATCTGGGGTTGGGGGCACCTCCCCAGCGTCACTGGAAGCTGGGGGGCTGCAGGGGAAGGCTGGTTCATTCAGCCCGGCGCTGTAAGGAAAATGCAGCACTCCCCTGAGAACCAAGCTGCAGCTGCCTTCCAGCAAAACCAGACTCCAAATCCCGGGCAAAACACAAGCGCCGTATTTTCAACGCAGCCAACAGCACCAGCCCGGCTCCCTGCCCCTGGGCACCTCCCCGGGCACCGCGGAGATTGCCGGGCGGCTGCAAGGGACAGATCTGCCAGAGGCTTCGCTACAAGTCGCAGACGCGCACTGAGCAGGCTCAGAAGTGATTGTTCAAAGACTCCTGTCGCTATTATTGTCCAGCTGCTTTGCCCCAGCCATGCTGCCGGGGGCGGGAGGAAGGCTACTGTGCAGGCTGAGGGCGGGAATAAAATCCTCCAGCCTTTTACAATTCTGACAGGGCTGCAGGGATTTCCCTCGGACTCCGGTGCCCAAATGGGGTAAGTCTCAATGTAACTCCTGAAAGCAGCGAGCATCTGGAACCAGGCCGCAGCGCCACAGCCCCTCTAGTGCCAGCACCACACGAACAGTGACCCCGGAAAAGCAGATTGTAAACAGCTCCTGCCGCAAACTTCACCCGCACTTCCTCTGTCTCTGGCCCCATTCCAGAGGCCTGGGTACTGAACAGCTTCTGCTAATCTACATAGGAAAGCAGCAGATAAGTAACACCAAGGGGGCGATTACTTCTCTCTGAACCTCAGATCAATATCAGGTCTTCCCCGGGCCAAGAGGAAACAAAGAGCCAATTCATTCAGCTCCAGCCCTGGAAAGGCTGGGGGAAGCCGATGCACTGTGTCTGGCTCGAAGGGCGAGCCCCAGAGGCACTGAATCTTGGTTCGCCCCATGGCTGTGGGAGATGCACCTTCCCAGGACAGCTACAGCCCAGACAAGGTTCTTCCTCACCAGTGACAACATCTCCACTGAGAATGGGCAGGAAGAGACACAGCGGTGAGCAGCCCTGCATGTCAGCGTGCCCTACTTAGGGGGGCAGGTCCTGCTGCCCCACAGAGCCACCCTCCCAGCCCCCCTGCTCCAAAGCAATTGGAAGGTGGGAAATGAGCTTTCCTCACCTTTCAGCTGCTGGCAGGGCTGGTTTCTAACATGCACAAACTTCTCATGATCTCCAGCACCTCTCCTGACCCATACACAGCTCTGCTGGTGCCCCTCAGGCCTGACCCCCAGCCCTCAGCTGCTCCAGTTCTGGGCTTTTCCTTCCCAGAGGCTGAGATGGGCTCTGGGGTGACCAAGCAATAGGTCACTCGGGAGCCGGAGGGGGGCCTGAACCAGCGCTAAGCCCAGGTCTGCCCTGGTGCGAGCCTGGGTCTGTCCACTCTCCCTCCCCCGCGCGGCTGCTCATACCTTTGATGAGCGCACTGGCAGCACCCGGGATGCCCTGGATCTCGGTCACGTTGTTCCTCAGGAAGTACTCATCACAGGTGGCGTTGAGGAATTTGGAGGTGCAGAACAGCTCCCACAGCTTGGAGCCCACTGTCTCGTTCCCTTCCAGCACCAGCTTGGCACAGATGTCGAAGCCGTGGCGCGACAGCGTCCTGTTACCCAGCAAACAGATCCTGGGGGGAGAGGACACAAGCAGAGAATGTACCAGAGCCATCTCCTGCCCTGCGGCAGCCTGGGGGAGGCGGGAGGGTGCTGCGCTGCTACTCACGGGAAGCTGGGGGGGTCGATGGCAGACTTGATGACCCCAGCGTAGATGGCCAGGATGGAGAGGATGACGCAGCCCAGGAAAACCAAGGCAAACTTGTTGACGTACTTGACCCCGACGAACACCACCGTGGCCATGCAGGTGAGCACGCAGGTGCCGTAGACACGCATGTTGTTGAGCATGGCCGCGGCCTCCTCGCTGGCATCCTCTCCCTCGAAAATGGCCATGGCGGGGAAGATATAGGCCTGGGAGAGAGTCACAGCCAGCATCAGCGCCTGGCCCAGCGCAGCCCCCACCCCCCAGCTGCACTGGCCAATTCTCCCCGTTGCTCAGGGTGATTACAGCCATGCCCCAGGACCGGCCAGGATCAGGGCCCCCGTGTGCCAGGCTCAGCACCTCACAAGAGCCAAAACCATGAGATTTTTAAAAATGATGTTGTGTTTTGTGGTTCCGACCCCCACCCCATCCTCAGAGTGTGTGGGTCTGTGAGACAAGCCGTGCTGCCCACGCCCCCACATGTATTGGCTTTGGGGATCTGGGGAGCTCTCACCCCATCTGCCTGTCCCCCCCAGCCTCTCCTCTGGGGCTCTGCCCAGTGGGGTCCCCATCCAAGCCGGGTGCTGGGGGGGACAGAAGTGCCATCCTGCCCCCATTGCGCGTGGCTGGAGTGCTGGGCCAGAAGGTTGCTGGGTTACGGACCCAGGGGGCTGCAGGAACAGCCTCCCCCAGCGCCCGCTCAGAGGGGCCCAGCCACACTCACCAGAAGGATCTCGATGGTGCCCAGGATGTACATGGCTCCCGCGAAGGTGGTGCCCAGGTAGAAGCACAGCCCCACAGCCCCTCCGAACTCGGGCCCCAGAGAGCGCGAGATCATGTAGTAGGAGCCACCCGCTGGCAAAGAGAAGAACAAAGGGGGTTGGGCCCCACTGCAGGAGCCTGGCACGCGCCTCCTGTCTCAGGAACAGCTCCCTTAGCCCCGTGCCGGGCCGCTCGAGGGCACCAGGGCTCTTTCGACCTGAGCAGCGCCGAGTCCCAGCTCCAGCTCTCCTTCCTCAGGCCGGGGGAGCCACTGTGGGTCCAGCTCTTGCCAGGCAGGAGAGGGCGAGGGGGCAGGGCGAGGACAGGGCCTGAGCTGTGGGGAGGGAGGGGCAGTTTAGGGCTGTCTCCCATCCCAGCAAGGGAGGGAAGCGGGCCCCTGGAGACCCTGCCAGACCCTTGCACCCTGGCTCACGCGGAGTGGTCTCTGGCAGTGGCCGAGCTGTGGGAGCTGCAGTGGGGGCAGCTGCCAGGCTGGGCTCTGTCCCACCTATGCAGAGCTGACGGCAGCAGATCGCCTGCAATCCAGCAGCCGCAGGAGGCAGCAGCCGGGCCATGGACGTGCTCTGCCAGCTGCGGCAGGCTCTGGGAACACCATGTGCCGGTCTTAGCCCACTGCTCCCCTACAGCCCCATGCCCTGACCCACAGCCCCTGCCCCACCCAGAGCCACCCTCCCTGGGGTCTCAGCCCACTGCTCCCCTACAGCCCCATGCCCCGACCCACAGCCCCTGCCCCACCCAGAGCCACCCTCCCTGGGGTCTCAGCCCATTGCTTCCCCTACAGCCCCATACCCCGACCCACAGCCCCTGCCCCGACCCCAACCACCCTCCCTGGGGTCTCAGCCCACTGCTCCCCTACAGCCCCACAGCCCCTGCCCCGACCCAGAGCCATCCTCCCTGGGGTCTCAGCCCACTGTTCCCCTACAGCCCCATGCCCCGACGCCCAGCCACCCTCCCTGGGGTCTCAGCCCACTGCTCCCCCACAACCCCATGCTCCGACCCACAGCCCCTGCCCCACCCAGAGCCACCCTCCCTGGGGTCTCCACAATCTCCCCACCAGTCTTTGCAGGCAGTTACCATATGGCAGATTCAGCTCATTAGTTTTTTCTCCTCACTCAGCCACCTCCCGTTTTCTTGCTGTTCTCTGGACCCTCTGTTGTGTCGCTATGTTCCTGGCAGCAAAGTGCCCAGCCCCAGTGGCCGGATCCTCTCTTCCCTGCTCATGGTGGGTCATTTACATCCATGCCAAGCCAGTGTGAATGTGGCTGCCCAGGGCCGTGCAGCTCCCCAGGGGACATTTCATAAGCTATTTTACGTGTAACCATAAACTCCAGCTTCAGGAGAACTGGGGGTACATGCAGCCCTGGAGCGACCCCCTGAGTTTATCTCCAGGGCAGCGGAGGGCTGGCTTCCCCCACACCAGCCATGCCCTGCCTGGGGCTCACCGTGACAGGGGGGCTGCCTCTGGACTGTAAGAGCAGCCCAGTCTTCATGGTCCAGCTGGTTCTGTGCCTCCCTGCTGAGACTGCCCATTAGTGCAGAGCGGGCAGGCGAGCTTGTGATGTGGGAACTGGTACTAAGACACAGGGCCACTAAACAGCCACAGGAGGGGACCAGCTGTTAACCCCCGCTGAGCTGGGCTGGATTCAGTCTGGGGCCCTGCCTGGGGAAGGCTCTGAAGCGTGACAGCGACTCCCTGAGCCAGCCACTCCCTGGAGCACCAATGGGCCACAGGCAAAGTTTGGGTTTGGGAAGATCAAGTGCCCTTTTGGGGGCTCACCCAGCCAGGGTCTCCCTGGTTTGCTCCCCCACTGCCTCAGTCTGCTTACAAACCCTGTAATGTTCCCCACCCTCTTCTTAAAGGGACAGCTCCCATTAACCCAAGTGCAGCACTAAAAACACCACAAACAATAAGCAACATCCAAATTCACCCCTCAATTCAATGTGCTGCAGCATAAAATCATTCCCAGAGCGATTCCCTGGCCCGCCCGTTACATGCCATACATCCCACCCACACCCCTCTCATCCCACCAGTCGGCAGCGCGTTTGAAAGCCCACCTTCGGATGTGCATGCCGTTACTCTGTACGCACAGCAGCCCATCGGGGGAGACACAGCTCACACTGTGTCACCGGGTTACACAGCTCGCTGGGAGCTGGCACTAGAATGCTGGGTCTCTGGCTTCCTGGCTCTGGGAGCAGCCTGTTGGCTAGTAGTTAGAGACACCACAGCCCCGTGTGGCTGTACCACTGCTTGGCTCTCTGCAGAAGCAGAACCTGGTCTCTTGGGAGCGAAAACTGCCACTTGAGATAAATGACAGCGCACTTTGGCGCAGAGGCAGTAGTAGATTAAAATGCCTGTAGGTGGGCTAGCCACTGGCTGGGGGTAACTAGCCCCATAGGTGGGCTAGCCACTGGCTGGGGGTAACTAGCCCCATAGGTGGGCTGGGGACTCTCTGTCACAGGGGTTAGACAAGCTGTGACGAAGTGGGACTGTTCTTAATGTTTTCCTCAGTTTCCCCTATGCAGTTCTTAAGTATCTAGGTGGTGGGATAAGGGTGTATGGTTGCTGCAGAGCAAAGGGCCCATGTACATAAATGCTCGACACTCTGTCTCCTAGCAACTGATGGCCTGGGCCCCTCCTCTGCAAAGGTGCCAACTGAAGGTGTTGGAGACAAAGGGATCAGGTGACCTCCTGGTCTGGGAAAGAGACAAAGCCCAGAGAAGGAGGGACTGGACGGGGCTTGTAGTTGGAGCTACCTGGGGACTAGGAGTGAGGGCAGACGGGTTGTCTGGCTCTCTGAACCCCATAATGGACCCAGCCGAGGGGTCCCGTTCACTGCTGTATCTACAAGCTCTGTTTTAGACCGTGTTCCTGTCATCTAATAAACCTCTGTTTTACTGGCTGGCTGAGAGTCACATCTGACTGCAAAGTGGGGGTGCAGGACCCTCTGGCTTCCCCAGGACCCCGCCTGGGTGAACTCGCTGTGGGAAGCGCACGGAGGGGCATATGCTGAGTGCTCCCAGGAGAGACCCAGGAGGTGAAGCCGTGTGAGCTTCTTGCCCTGAAGACGGTCTGCTCCGAGGGAGAGGAGGCTCCCCAAAGTCCTGACTGGCTTTGTGGGGAGCAGTTCCAGAGCATCGCCCGGGGACTCCGTGACACAAGCCCAGAATTCAGCACATTCCTTCCAAAAGCCAGCGGCTGATGCACTTTGGTCTCTCCCACCAGAGATTCAGGGTCTATGGCTGCTCTGCCTGGTGTGGCCCTGCCCAGCCGTGCAGGGTCGTAGCTGCGGGGGGTGGCTGGGGGACCAGGCTGCTAAAGGCAGTCAGCACCTGATGATGCAGTCAGGGCAATGATGCGCAGCGGGGAGAGGAGCAGCCAGGCCCAGCCCTCACCCTACCTGGCACGACGCCGTTCGTAGCGATGGCACTCATGGAAATGGCCGTCAGCATCGTCTGCAGAGAGGAAAACCACAGTGTTAGAGGCACCTCGGAGCCAGGCTGCCTCCTGTGCCCCAATGGGCCGGGGGCACCAGGCCGGGGGCCGGGAATAATGCAGCACCCGGGAGGGGAGCAGTAACTACGGACCTGGGGGAGTGTCAGTAGTGAGGGGGTCCAGGAATCGGGCAGGCGTTTGCCTGTGTGAGTGACGCCAGTCTGACCATTTGTCGTGGGGCAGGGGACGAGCAAAGGGCTTGACCCTAAGCCCATTGCTGAGTTTTCGGACCTGGAAGCTGAATTCAGCCCCGGGGTTATTCCCCAGGCGCTCCGCCCCTGGGCTGTGGGTCCCATGCCAGCTCCTGCCCCGTGTGCTCCTGGGTGAGCTAAAGCTTCAGAGGTGATCCCCCCAGGACGGAGCTGGGACCCTTTAGAAGAGAGGCTAACAGATTGCAGCGCATTTGGAGGGCTGCCCAGGACTGCTCTCCTCACTAAGGTCTGGTCTGCGTGTCAGACCTATGTTGGTGCAACTACGTTGCTCGGGGTGTGAAAAATCCACAGCCCTGAGTGACGCAGTTACACCGACATAGCCCCCAGTGTAGACAGCGCCGGGTCCACCGACATAGCTACCGCCTCTCGGGGACGTGGATTAACTATGCCGCCGGGACAGCTCTCTCCCATCGGCTCATTAACCGCTACCGCAGCGCAGCTGCGCCGATGCAGCTTTTGAAGTGTAGACGGGCCCTCAGCATGCGACCTGGCTTTTCTTGCTCCTAAATAGCAGAGGGCCAATGGGAGGGCAGGTTGCCCTGCAGCGTGGCCCCCACCAGGAAAGAGGGTTTTAACATGAGGGTTTCCTAGTCTCTGGCGACCCTGCTGCATGGGGGGGGGCACCATCTTGGAAGCGGGGGCCCCTTGCCACCCAGCTGCAACACTGCCTGAACTGCACACACAAAAGCTGTGTAACTGCTCTGCACAGGGCGGGGGACGGCCCACAAGAAGGGGGTGCTGGACTATCCAATCCTGATCCCAGGAAATAAACTCCCCAAGAAGTAGCTGCTCCCCTCAGTGGGGCCCCCAGGCAGCACACTCCCGCCTGTCTCCAGGCTCGATAGAACTGGGACCAGCTTCTGGCTTATAAAGGCTGGTTTCCCAGCGAGGTGATGGGTTTGGGTCGATCAGCTGTGTCAGCATTCAGTGCTCCCATCTTGTTCCCTAGTAACAGGGGGCTGGCTGGCTCCAGTCCTCCAGGATGTTCTCTCTTTAGCTGCAGTCTCCCTCCGGCAGTACTCCTTCTTCCTGACTCCTAGGCTGAGCCATGTTCATGCAAACAGGGGAGGTGAATTATTCCTCCCTGCCGCTCCCAAGGAACTCCAACCCTTGACCTAGGCCTGTCCATTCAGTGCTGGGCTCTGCCCGTCTGGTCTAACCCCACCTGGACGGGACACTCCACTGCCGGAGCACAGCAGAGCTTACAGGTCTGGGGTGACAGCTGCACGGCAGGGCAGGGATAACAGCATCACTCACGCAGGAGCAGCAAAGAATGACCATGCAGAACGACTCCATGATGCCAGCAATTCCCACCACCCAGGTGAGGCGCAGGAAGAGGATCACCCCAAAGATGTTTTGCAGGCAGGGCAGGTAAACGCCCATGAAAGTGCCCATCCGCGGAGCCTACGGAGAAAAGCACGACGCCATTAGACACGAGGAAGGCAGCATCAGCTCCTCCACAGGCCACAAGGCCTTGGAAAGATTTGCCTGGGAGGGTCAAGTCTCTGGAGTCCTGGTGCAGAGACAACTGGGGGGGGGTCACGAATCAAAAGAAACGGGGGGGCTCATTTGCTCCATGCCTCGCCATGGCAGCTGTGGAGAACGGTTCAGAGGGGAGGGCTCAGACAGAGCTGGCAAGGGGAGCTCCAGGGCAGTGCCTGCCTCCTGGTACGGGGCATGCATGGAATAGGACAAGGAGAGCGAGTGAAAGAAGGCGAGGAGGATGCAAACACGGTTGCTGCAGAGGATCGCTACAGCCACCCTGCTGGAGACAGGCCTCTGCCACCCCTCTCTCTGCACAACTGGGGGGCCTTTCGTTCCTTTCCTGCTCCTCTGCAAGGGGCTCCCGAGATGCCCCCAAACCCACCAGCAGAGATCGGTCTCGGGGATCAGAGCCGTTCGTTTCCCTGCTGGAACAGTGCCAGCTGCAGCCCAGGCTGCCCCTCGCCATGCGGCTGCTCACACAGGGAGCCGGCAGGAAATCACAGGGACAAGGCACTTGTTCCCGGCTGTGACGCTTTGGAGCCCACGGTGCTGGTGGCTCGGGGCTGCCCACTTAGGGCCTGGCTACGTTGCAGAGCTCCATGGATTGCAATGTACCTGGCTTAATCACAGCCCGCCCGGTGGTCCAAGCCACTGGCGGGGAGGCAGGGGGCCATGGCAGCTGCCCGGGGTGGCTGTGCCCGTGACAGCCCAGGGCAGCCCGGGGCACTTCGGAAGGCCTGGTGCTTGGGGATCTCTGCAGGAAGCGATGCAGACATCGGGCACCTCAGAAGGGTCAGGTGCACCTGGGCCCATGGCAGCGCCGTGCTGATCTTGGCAGCAGCAGCATGAGCCACGTCCCGCCCACCTGCGACTGCAGCAAGGACTGGAGATGGGGGAGGGTCCCACTCCAGGGAGGAAGGCCCAGCGGAGGCAGTAGGACAGGCCCTCCTGCTAGTGCACGCGAGATGGACCCTGCCCGGAGAGCCCTGGGAGCTGGAAGTGAGAGCGTGGGAATTCCTGAACTCCCACAGCCTCAGAGAACCTCACTCAGGCCAGAAAATGCAAATCGAAACCAGGAGCCTCCAGATCTGGGCAAGTGGGAGCTGCTGGGCCCCTGGCCCCTTGGTGGGAAGCCGCACTGCCTGCCCAGGGACTCAGCGCCAAGCCTGTGAGTCCTGCAGGGAGAGGGCGAATCCCACTCGCTCGCCCGCTCCCTTGGCCACATCCGTGTGGCTGTGCCATGGCTTGGTACTGACGTGCAGGGGCAAGTCCCTTGGGAGAGAACCCACGGCCCCTGAGAGCAGCCCCAGAGAACCCCACCCTGGCACTGCCCCACGCCGGCAGCCCCAGAGAACCCCACCCCAGTGCTCCCCCATGCCGGCAGCCCCACAGAACCCCACCCTGGCACTGCCCCACGCTGGCAGCCCCACAGAACCCCACCCTGGCACTTCCCCCCCCATGCCAGCAGCCCCAGAGAACCCTCCAGGCCCCCCACTCCAGCAGCCCCAGAGAATCCCCCCAGACCCCCCACTCCAGCAGCCTCAGAGAAGCCCCCAGACCTCCCCACGCCGGCCAGCGCTGGAGCCCGGTACTGAACCCCCTCACCTGCACAGGTTTCTTTTTGGCTCCATCGTTGTTCTCCGCCTCCTCATGCTCCCGGCTGCCCTGCGGCAGGTTGGTGTAGTTCACCAGGCCGCTCAGCAGGGACGAGACCATGGGGCTGGTGTCCATCTCTTCCTGTTAGGGGCAGCGACAGGTGAGGGCGAGGTACCTGTCCTGAGCCGGCCGCGCCCTCCCTCCACGCTGCCCCCCCCCGCTACACCCCCCCCGCGGCCCCTCCTGCCCGGTGCCCTACCTCGAAGAGGGCCATGTTCTTCCCGTCGTACTCCTTGCCCTTCTCCAGGTCGGTGCTGTTGATGAAGGGGCTGCTCTCCTTGGGGTTGCCATCGCCTGCAGAGACACAGAGATCAGGGCTTGGGCCAGCCACCCCTCCCCCCAGCCAGCAGCCCCCACCATGCGGCTCGCCGGCTCACCCGCCCTGCTGGTGCCGCTCAGCATCGGCCGCACCGAGCTCCAGTCGCCCCAGCCACCCCCAGCATGGCCCCACCTGCCAGCAGCCATCGGGGCCCCACAACCCTGATGCCAAGGGCAGCGCTGGGGTTCTCGGGGGCATGTGAGAGAGAGGCTGAATCCTCTTCCGAATGCGCCCTCCAGAGCTGGCTCAGAGCCCACTGCCCCGGGCCATCAGCGCCCAGGGAGGGGTGCACGGGCACTGCTGGGACTGGGGGGAGAGTCACCCAGCCATGCCTCGACTGCAGGGAACAGAGCCAGGGAAAGCAGCCAGCATCCCTGGGCGGCCTGGCCTTCTCCACCAGAGTCCCCTGGGATTTATAGCCAGCACCCCCGAGCTGCAGTCCTCCTGCTCCTGCGGGAGCCTGAGCCCCCCAGCACCACTGCTGAAAGTCACTGGGCAGCCGCCAGGGAGGGAGGCCTGGTGGGTACTAGCCTCAGAGCAGTAGGCTCTGTGCCCTGAGCCCCAGCAGAGGGAGTCATGCCCCCAGCCCCCGTGCAAGGGGATCCACGCCCCGGTGCCAGCACTGGGATTCCCAGCCCCCGTGCAAGGGGATCCCCGCCCCAGCACTAGCACTGGGATTCTCACCCCCATGCATAGGGATCCACGCCCAGGTGCCAGCACTGGGATTCTCACCCCCGTGCAAAGGGATCTGTGCCCAGGTGCCAGCACTGGGATTCTCTCCCCCGTGCAAGGGAATTTCCAGCCCCCTGGGGTACAGCCCCCAGTGTATTTAAAGCACCTATGCCAGTTTGCTTTGTGGGCAGTGAGTGCTGAGAAAAGAGGCAAAATCCTGGCTCCAGTGCACAGGTCGGTGAGTAAGAGGGCACCGGGGCAGCCCTGCCTGGCAACTGGGGCAGGGCTGTGACGCAGTAGAGAGTGGGGCGGACTGACCTGGGAATGTCGTCTAGTTTTACTGGGACTGTCTGCATGGGGGATGGGAGAGCAGGGGGTGACTTTAGGTGAGGGACGATACCTGAGCCTGTAGCCTGAGCCAGGAGAGGGGTGGGGCCAGGTGATACCTTTGCCCGGGAAACTGGACAAAGGGAGAGGAGAAGCCAGGGGGCGGGGAGACAGTTGGCTGAGGGGGTTTTCAGTTTGGGGCTGGCTGGGAAGACGCAGGAAACCCCAAGTCTGGGGTCTAAGCTCCTTGCCCCCCAGAGGGACCTGGCTGAGTGATCCTGGTTGTATCTACAAGCCTTGCTTGGAACTGTATTCCTGTCATCTAATAAACCTTCAATTTTACTGGCTGTCTGAGAGTCACGGTGAATCGCAGGAAGCCGGGGGTGCAGGACCCTGAGTTCCCCCACCCTCCATGACAACTGGTGGCAGAGGTGGGATCTGCGGCACCCCATGGATGGCGCTTCCTGCAGTAAGTGACTGTGAAGCAGTAAAACGAAGGGGGATCGACGGGGACCAGGCGTTCTGAAGGCTCAGAGAGGGACAGTTTCGGGGGACGATTAACCCCTGGGAGTGTGTGACCAGAGAGGACGTTTGCAGTAACAGGGTCCCCCTGGGGATTGCAGTGAGCGGTCCCAGGGGCGGAGGAGTCTGCAGCTCAACCCTGGCAAAGAGGTGGTGACCTCGAGAAGGGCTGGCACACTAGGGATCTCCCTGGAAACTGTGGGGAGCGATGAGCACACAGGCCTGTGAGTGGCCAGCAGGAAGATGTATGCCAAGTGCCTTAAGAGCGACCTGGTGGAGCTGTGCAAGCAGAGGGGGCTGCGCAGTGGGAGGCTCACCAAAGAACAGCTCATTGCCCAGCTGGAGGAGGGAGATCGCTGGAATGAACTGATTCCTGTCTCTGAGGGAAGCAGCCTGGCAGATGCAGCGCAGGCACCAGTGTCTGTCCCAGCTGGGAATGGTCAGCCGGCTGCTGAGGGCTTCCCGAGACCCCTCCTTCCTATGCCTAGGGGAAGGGTGGGGAGGAGCCCAGCAAATACCAAGGGCACAGTGACGCACACACACACACACCCCTGGAGAGCAGGGGATCCTCCCAGCGAAGCTCCTCATCGCTGGAGCTGAAGCGGCTGGAATGAGAGAAGGAGCTAAAACTGAGAGAGCTGGAGGATCGTGAACAACAGAGACAGCATGAACGGGAGGAGAAAGAGAAACAGCGTCAGCATGAACTGGAGCTGGCGAGGCTGAGGGGCAGCGAACCCCCGGCTGCGGTGAGTGAGGGGGGACCCAGGACTGCACGGAGCTTTGATAAGTGCATCCTGGCCCCACGTAAGGACGGGGAGGACATGGATGACTTCCTGGATGCCTTTGAGACGGCCTGCAAGCTGCACCAGGTTGATCCTGCGGACAGGCTCCGGGTTCTAACCCCCTTACTGGACCCCAAAGCTGCGGCATTGTACCGCCGACTGGAAGGGGCGGAGAAAGGGGACTACGAACTATTCAAAAAGGCCCTGCTATGTGAGTTTGGGCTGACTCCTGAGATGTACCGGGAGAGGTTCCGGAGTCAGGATAAAACCCCTGAGGTCTCATATCTGCAACTAGCCATCTGCATGGAGGGATACGCCAGCAAGTGGGCAGATGGGGCCCAGACAAAGGAGGACCTGGTTAAATTGATCCGACCTGAGGCTGTGGTTGAGGGACAAAAAGCCAGAGAACCCGCGACATTCAGGGCGGCTGGCCGATGAGTTTGTGAAGAGCCAGTCAGGGGGTGGCAGGGAGAAGTCTCAAAGGAACAGGCCTGCAACGATGCAGAGAGAGAGAGTCACCCTGGGACCTCCCAAAGGGGGAATATGGAGAACCCCCTCCCGAGGGGAACATCTGGCATCAGGGCCAACCAACCGGCTCGAGGGGACCAACAGGACATGGGCTGCTATCACTGGGCCCAGAGAGGCCACATATGGACCCAGTGCCCCAAACTCAAGGACAGACTGAGCAGACCGAACCCACACAGGGTTAACTGGGTAGGGACCCAGCCGGACGAGGGGCAGGCTTCCCGGGCAAGGGGGGCTGACAGCTTATCAACTGCTCAGGAGAGAGGAGGGCCCACCACTGCCGGGTGTACCATGTGAATATGATGAAGCCATATTATGACAGGGGGAATGTGGTGTTGGCCGTATGTGGACATTGGGAGGAGCAGGGAGATGACCACTTAGTAGATCTATTCCCTGGGACAAGAGCTGGTTCCCCCCTGGAAACAATTCCCCTCTTGGATCAGCTGAGCCCGGCCCAGCAAGCTGAGATCTGAGGGGTGCTGCATCTGTACTGACGGCTGTTTTCCAACCAGCCTGGACGCACTAATCTGACTGTCCACCGGGTGCAGACAGGATCGCACCCGCCTATAAAATGCTCCCCCTTCCGAGCCACAGGGAAAACTGCTCAGGACCTGGAAAGAGAGGTCAGGGACATGCTGGCTTTGGGGGTGGTCCAGCCGTCTTCCAGCCCTTGGGCCTCGCCGGTGGTGCTGGTCCCCAAAAAGGACGGGTCGATCCGGTTCTGTGTGGACTATCTGAAGCTCAATGCCATCACTGTAGCTGATGCCTACCCCATGCCCAGGCCTGACGAGCTCCTAGACAAGCTGGGAGGCGCTCAGTACCTGACCACCATGGATCTTACAAAGGGCTACTGGCAAGGGCCGCTGGATGCGGATGCCAGGCTGAAATCCTCCTGTATCACCCCTCTGGGGCTCTATGAGTTCCTGACCCTGCCTTTCGGCCTCAAGGGAGCGCCGGCCACCTTCCAGCGCCTGGTGGATCAGCTACTGAGGGGGATGGAGAGTTTTGCTATGGCGTATATTGACAACATCTGTGTCTTTAGCCAGACCTGGGAGGACCATGAGTCCCAGGTTAGACGAGTGCTGGACCGACTCCAGGAGGCTAGGCTAACCATAAAAGGTGAGAAGTGAAAGGTGGGGATGGTTGAAGCATCTTACCTAGGTCACCGGGTGGGGAGTGGCTGCCTAAAGCCGGAATGAGCCAAAGTGGAGGTGATCAGAGACTGGCCCGCTCCACAAACCAGAAAGCAGGTCCAGGCCTTTATTGGGATGGCGGGATACTATCGAAGGTTCGTGCCCCACTTTAGCGCCATAGCCGCACCCATCGCTGAGCTGTGCAAGAAGGGGAAGCTAGACAAGGTGGTCTGGACCGAGGAGTGCCAGAAAGCGCTCCGGGCGCTGAAGGAGGCTCTGGTCAGTGGCCCAGTTCTGGCAAACCCAGACTTTGACAAGCCCTTTTTGGTGTTCACCGACGCCTCAGACACAGGACTGGGGGCAGTGTTAATGCAGGAGGATGAAAAGGGGGCGAGACACCCCATCGTGTACCTGAGCAAGAAGTTGCTACCCCGGGAGCAGAACTACGCGGCCATCGAGCAGGCAGGCCT